TTTTTTTTTTTTTTAACATTTATTTGCTTTTGAGAGACAGAGCACAAGCAGGGGAGAGGCAGAGAGAGACAGGGATACACAGAATCCAAAGCAGCTCCAGGTTCTGAGCTGTCAGCAGAGCCCAACATGGGGCTCAAACCCACGAACCATGAGATCATGACCTCAGCCAAAGTCACAGACTTCACCAACTGAGCCACCCAGGCACCACAATATACATCTCTGAAGGAAAAATATATATGAAGTAGAAGTTCTTTTTTTTTTAGTTTATTTATTACTTATTTTGAGAAAGAGAGAGAGTGCACTCGAGAGTGTGGGCGAGGGGCAGAGAGAGAAAGAGAGAGATGGAGAATCCTAAGCAGGCTCTACATTGTCAGCACAGAGCCTGATGTGGGGTTCGAACCCACGAACCATAAGATGATCACCTGAGCCAAAGTCAGATGCATAACCAATTGAGCCACCCAGGCACCTCTATGAAGTAGAAGTTTATAAAATACCATAAAAAGATTAAGAAGTCCAATATTGTGTCATAAAGTAAACTAACAGCTGAGAGTACACCCTTTATAAAATTAATATGAAATCCCTTTAGTTAACACAAAATCATGTGGAGAAAAAAAAAAAAACATTGCAGGGGCAACTGGGTTAAGCATCAGACTCTTGATCTTAGCTTGGGTCTTAATCTCAGAGTCATGAGTTCAGGTCCAGTGTTGGACTCCATGCCGAGCATGGAACCTATTTAAAAATAAACACTGCAAATGACATTAGTCAACATTATCAAGGAATATGAATTCTGCTATACCCTGTTCTTCATGTTGCCCAGTCAGAATAATTGCTTTCTGCCTAACTGGTGATGTGTTGACATTTTTCACTATATAATTATAAATTAATCTTTTTCTTCTTAAGTTAATCTTCCTGACTTGAATAATTATTACCACTCTAGAACAATACTAAGGTTTAAAAGAAAACTACTGCACCTTTTTAATTTATCAACTGCATGTATATTTGCTGCCTTTTCTATTAAAAATTCCACTATTTGCTGTTTGTTTTCATTTACAGCAACTAGAAGTGGTGTGAAGTTATCCTGTAAAAGAGCAAAAACAATTTATAATTTACAAAATTACATATTTCCATACCGAATTTTAAAACTTACAAAAGATCCTCTAAACTTAAACATATAATACAAAAAGTAAATACAAAATGGCCTCTTCCTTCCCACCCCTGTGCTTTCACCTGCTGCTGCTTCTCTTTAAAATAGCCCTCCTCCACCGGGGCACCTGGGTGGCTCAGTTGGTTAAGTGACCAACTGCGGCTCAGGTCATGATCTCATGGTTTGTGAGTTCGATCCCTGCATTGTGCTCTATACTGACAGTGCACAGCCTGGAGCCTGTTGCAGATTCTGTCTCCCTCTCTTTCTCTCTGCCCTCCCTCCCTTGCTCGCACTCTGTCTCTCCCTCTCTCTCAAAAAGAAACAAACATTTAAAAAAATGTTTTTAATAAAATAGCCCTCCTCCACCTTCTTCAACAGATTATATGCAGTCATGCCCCCAAACTCACTTCAAACCCTGACTGGTTCGAAGATTTTTGTTTGTATCACAGTACTTATCATGGCATACTGTAGTTATTGTTCCTATTATTGTGCTGTAGTTATTGTTAGGCAAAATATAAATCAGAAATAAAAATATAATAGCTTATCAATAAAAATTCGAATACTGGTTTTTACAGATCATTTTTAGCAATGAAAGCTACTATATTATTTGCATTTTTAGGGATCAATGCTGAGGAGAAAGATAATATTGTCTGCAATAGGCATAATCTATTCAACTATTACCATGATTAATCTAATATGCTTTGCAAATATTCCAGTAGGAATATGATTATTTACAGTACACATAAGGAAAAAGTGGTTTTTTTGAAACCAACTTATGGGGCACCTGGGGGGCTCAGTCAGTTAAGAGTCCAACTTTTGTTCAGGTCATGATCTCATGATTTGTGAGTTCAAGCCCTGCACTGGGCTCTATGCTAACAGCTCAGCCTGGAGGATTCTGTCTGCCTTTCTCTCTGCCCCTCCCCCACTCATGCACGCGCTCTCTCTCCTTCATAAATAAATAAATAGAATACAAAAACAACTTCGAAAGTCTAACTTGGAAAATTCAATCCTATTCCTAAGACATTAACATAAAATACAAAATATATATTATAAATTAATATTGATTGTCTTAAAATCCTTGAAATCTTTATCAAAATATACCATAAAAAAGGGGCAC